GAGTTTGAGGCTGAAAAAATATATTATTACCGGCTTTGTAAATCATACAGCTTGTTGCATCTCATATATATTGATTTGAAATTGGTTAAATTGTTATAATTCCTATAATTTATCTTCCCAATGTACAATCTTATAATTTTTTAAGCAAGGAAGAATTATCTTTTTTGGTGACATTATTAATATGGATTGCATCATTTTTCCTCTGTGAATGAACTGTGTTTGAAAGGGATCACTATGCCTTTAATGAGGTTTGGTCAAAAACCAGAAAACCAAGTCTAGGAAGAAGGACTCGCATTGATGATTCAGATTAGATCGATAATGGTGTCAAAATCATATATAGCTTCAATTTGAGACGTTGAATCAACGGATGTGTGTGTGTGTGTGTGTGTGTGTATCAGAAAGTCTCGAAGCTGTTAAATCAGTTGAAAATAACTTGTGCCCATATCTATCTGCTATATTATATATGTTCATGGCTGGGCTGGCCTCGCCAAATTGGGACCATATGCTCCAAAATTAACCCCTTTTAAGTGGGTCCTATGTGTTTCTCTTAAACTTTGCCCTTTGAATTCTCAACGAGGAAGATGAGTTAATAAGAAGGAACCCCAAAGGGAAAACAACAGTGAAGTTCAGAGTAGTACTGCTAATTTGTTTACTTCTTAAATGCAAAGTTCTCATATGAAGGTACATTGCCCTTGTTTCTCTTTATCTGTGGGTCACCTGTAAAGTGAGTCGTTGTGCTGCAAAAAATATACTAAATCATCTGTGCGTGTTTGTTGTAAATAGCTATAACAAATTATAATTTGAATGACTAAATTGAAGGTAGCCAATTTGACGATGATCAAACTATCACTAAAAATATATCTCAACTGATGATAGTTGGTTTAAACAGAAAAAGAAAAAAATTTATTGTGTACTTCTAAGAAAAGAATATATATAATCACCAATAACAAGTTCTAGTACTGAAAATAACAATAAAATCCATGCTGCTTACTTCTTCTTAGAATTTTTTTAGTAATTATATAGTCCTTCCTCAGCTTGGTACTTCATGATTTAATTTCCCCCTTTACATAGTAAGAACTTGATTTTCTTTGACATATCTATATATTTTCACCACTAGGACTACACTTCATCGTTGTTGCACTCTCCTCATCTTGAAGCTACCATCCTTCACCAATTCAACAGATGCTTTGTTTTGGGTCAATAATTAATATTTTGCATATATAAGGGTGTTTGAGTAAATTTCAAGAAAATCATGGTTTTGGCTCTTATAATTGATCATGATGAGATGAATAAACAGGCTCCCTCCTGTGTATTTCATCATTAATTGCTGCTATATATTGTCATCCAGGCATTTGATATCTAAATTTTCCTTTTGTTTTGCATATATAGGATTTCTATCTGTTATTTGTTCGTAATCTCTCAAATTAGTTTATTAATCATTGTTGCCAAAATACTCAACAAAGAAGGGTTATAATGGTAAGTTCCGTATGCCTTAGTCACTGAATGCTTCAACTTAATTATAATTTTTCTATAATACACACAAACATGCATGTATCTATAAAACAAGAAGAACCCTTTAGATCAAAATTTCACCCGTTTTTTTTTTTTTTCCTGCGGTTTCTTTTAAAAAGAGGATTGGGACTTTTTAACTTTACTCTCGCTTTAATTCATCTCATCCTAATTTACGTCTGCTATTTATTAATATATGTAAAACTCAATTCAAACACAAACTTTCGCACAAAAGAAACCCCCGATTTTACTGGGGGGAAAAACATGGGTGTCATATTTATGTATTTGATTGTAATGGACTTATCTGTTCATCTTTTTGTGAACCAATCTACCAATAATAGTAAAAACTTGTTTATATCTATTAGGCCAAGTTTTTCAATCATATTTGTTAGTTGTTAAATGCGTATGTGCATTTGTAAATTCACCTATGAATATGACCTAATAGATATGATTAACTTAACCTAAATTTTGTCATTTTTAGAATATCCCATCCAATTATTTTCGTGGATTCTACTTTATTGATGTAAAACTTTTTAAATATATGTAGCGAATAGAGAGAGTTTGAAAAAATTATAAATTTGAAAGAAAAAGTAGATCGATGTGTTCCCTCTTGAATCAAATCAAACAAATCTCCTTATTGGCTCCTAGGGGTAGAGAGATTAACAGGTAACTCTAAGTGTGTTTGTCTGTCGATTTTTTATTAGTTTCTTTCAGGTGATTTCACCTAAACTAATCAATGATGTTCGTTTATTATATTCTATATGTTCATACTGTATTTTAAATTCTGAGAAAATAAAGAAAGAAGCACTGACATGGAAACTCGGACGCAGATAAATGTAGTGGCAAATTGGGAACGAGACAAAAAGAGACCTGAAAAATTTTTTCAAGTGGAGATGTTAAATGGTTTTATCGTTGTGAATTCTTCAAGAAGGGGAACATTATTTTCATTTTCTCATCAGTACTGATAACAAAGGTTTTTGCTTTTACATCCAATTTTTGAAATAGTCACTTTCTTAAAGCTTACAGCTTTAATAAGTTGCAGTTTTTATTTAACGGCTATTAGTATTCAATTTATTTGCCCATAGGCTCCTAAACAGGTGGTGTCTCCTATCTTTATTATAAGACTCTTTCAACTATCTTACTAAAATTAATGAGAGGTGAATAAGTCATTAAATTTGTTTGAAAATGACAAAAATAAAAATTTCAGATTTACTTTTATCTAAAACCATAAAGTACAACAAACGAGTGCTTGAATCAAATAATTGTGGGTCATTCAAACTTAATCAGTGGCATCATGTTCGAGCCCTGGTATGCAACCGGCATAATTACACGATAGTAGTTAGGTTTCCCCATTGTGAGCCTATATTCCTACAAACCAGACTAGTCGGTTGCTGTTAGCGCCGGATACCAATGAAGAAATCTAAAGGGCAAAAAAAAAAAAAAAAAAACCATAAATAAGGACTGGTGGGAATAATTCTTTTTAGTGTTTTTTTTAAGGAAAAATTAATGCTTTGGTTTCTATAACTCAATTATAAGTTAATTTTTAAACTTTAATGTGGTACATCTTAATTTTTATAGTTTTAACTGGTTCGGTTTCTAAATAAACTTTGACTTGATTCAACATGGATCTCTATAATTTAATTATTTTAAAAAATTAGGCCATATATTTTTAAAACTAAAATTATACATTGTCTCATGAATGAAGTTTCGGAACTAAAATTTTAAGTAGATAAAATTATAGGAATTAAGTTGTGATAATTTAAAGTTTAGATATTATGAATTATAATTGAGTGAAAACTCACAGGAATTAAGTTACGTGGATTTTGGAAAAAAAGAGATTAAAACTTTATCTGTTTTTTGATTGTGAATCCAGAATCTTAATGAAGGATTATGGAATTCCTTTTACTGGATTGATGGCTGCTGTGATTTTTTAACTGGGTATTTTACCATATGCTGAAATCGATGCAAATGGATAATGGCTGATGGGAAAGACCTTCGTCGTAATGCATGATACCTGTTGGTGGGTTAGGCAACAACCCCTGACCCTCACTCCACATTGGCCCCATCTCACCTTAGATTCCTGCCTCTCTCTCTCCTCTCTCTAACACAATCCAATTTGGACTTAAAGTTATATATAGCCAACTAATTTCTCTTTTCTCTCAAGTAACCCCTCTCGCCTCCACGAAAAAGCCCAACAATTAATAACAAATATAAAAATTTAAAATATTATACTGCCTCACACTCACAGCCAGGTATCTCATGGATTTTGTTCCTTTCTTTATTAAGAGCTTCTTAATACTCTCTTTGGTTCCTAATTAGAAGGAAATAATTACCCAATTTACAGATACCAAGAAGTTTATAGTCAGATTCTAAAAATTTATTCATTTTTTTCATCCATTTGTGTTCATTAAAAGTCTATTATATTGATTTATTAGAGGCTTTTCAGGAAAAATATTTTAATTACTCTTAGAATCTTGTAAACTACCCCCTTCAATCCTACTTCTAAGCTTCAAATTTGAGAAAGGGTGTGATCCATTTTATTAACTTTAATTTGGGTTTGTCTTAATATTTAATACATTTTTAAAATTTTTCCTTAAGTATTTATTCTGTCTCCTTGGCCATACTTTCGTATCACATTTTTTCATATATTCTTTTTCATCTTTTTTCTCATTTATTATAAGGATATATTTGAAAATAAAATTATATTTCTAATATATTTATTACTTTTAACTAATTTTAACTATTGTTTGGTATCTGCGTATTACTTATTTAAAGTTTGTAATAAGCATTGGAGGGATTACTTCATCATTAATTAGGGAAACCACCACAACTCACAAAATTGTTCCTTATAATTGATACTAGAGGGGAGTAAAAGAAAAATTATAATCATGTGACCCAACCAATCAAAAAGCAATTAGATAGTTAACATCAATAGAAGTCACCCTCTTCTCTTTAAGAGAATCATCATAATCATTATAAGATCTCATATCTTTCCCTTGGATGGAATCAAAGAGCATGAAAAAAATTATGTTTAGCTGCAATAACCAATCCTATCATGACTTTTATTTTTCTTAAGACAACTGTCTTTAGTGAGGAAAACCCATTACTTGTCTCCTAAGAGAGAAGCTAAATCTACCATTAGGAAAATAATTACAACTTATGCATGGCCTTATTACACATGCACTTACACATATAAAGGAATAATAATATTGAACATGTTGATGCACAGAAGCTAGCTTTCTCCACTCTGTCTTCCTTTTCTTTTCCTTCTGTCTTTTGAACTTCTAACTAATTGATTGCCTATGTCCTTTTTCTTTTCTTTTTTCCCCCTCAAATCTTCAACAAATTGCTTTTCCTTTTTTATATTTTTATATATTGGACTATCTTTTAAATTTCTAAATTTCACACCAGTAACTCATGGATAATAAGGAAAAAAAATAGTGATATATATGGGGAAGTTGGAGACTAATTGAACTATAGATTCAAAGATATCTCTTTCTTGCTCTTTCCCCTTCTTCTTCGTCTTCCCAGCTTCATTTTTCTTTTTCAAATATTCGCATTAGAGAAAACTGATGAGGTATAAAAGCCATCCCTCATCGCAAATTTTCCATGCTCTCTCTGATTGAAAGAGACACTAATTTAGGCAAAGGAGATGTTATACATGAGGTAGACCTTAGTCTCTGATCTTCGTTCTTTCCATCACAAGTCTAGAAATCTTCTCTCTTCTCACTGATCTCCACAAGACCATGAGCTCTTAAAGATACTATCGTCAATAATATGGCTTTCTTCCCTGCAAATTTTATGCTTCAAACCCCTCACCCAGAAGATCACCACCACCACCACCACCACCATCATCAGCCTCCTTCTCTCAACTCTCTCCTCACTTCATGTGCTCCACAAGATTATCACCATCACGGTACTCTCTCTCTCTCTATATATATAAATATATAACACAGTAATTGAAATCCACTCATTTATACTCTTGACCTGGCTAGTTTTGAACACTGGGTTTGAATCTCAAATGTCGGTGTGCTCGCAGGGGGTCCTTCTTTTCTAGGTAAGAGATGCGTGTCATTTCCAGGAATTGAACTGGGTGAAGAAGCTAATAATGCTGAGGAAGACTTGTCTGACGATGGGTCTCAGGCGGGGGAGAAGAAAAGGAGGCTGAACACGGAACAGGTTAAGACACTTGAGAAGAGCTTTGAGCTGGGAAATAAGCTTGAACCAGAGAGAAAAATGCAGCTTGCAAGGGCTCTAGGATTGCAGCCCAGACAGATCGCGATATGGTTCCAGAACAGAAGAGCTAGGTGGAAGACTAAGCAGCTCGAGAAAGACTATGATGTTCTTAAAAGGCAATATGATGCTCTTAAGGCAGATAATGATTCTCTTCAAGCTCAGAACCAAAAACTCCAAGCTGAGGTTAGTCTTATTAAATGATGCTTTTCCGTTGTTCTGATGTATATGATTGTTCTGATTCAATCCCATAAAAAGGCTGGTAATCATGATGATCCTTCTTTTCTATACCATACTTGTGCCCTTTTCTTTCTTTTTCTTTTTTTCCCCCCTCCCCCCACCCTTTTCTTCATTTTTTCACATGTGTAATTCAGAACTCCTCACTTACACAAAAGCTACTTTCCCCCCATCATTATGATCAGCTTTTCCACTTTTCATTTTCCTCCCAGTGACATGTTTTCTGGGTTTAGTAGGATTGAAATTAAACCATCTTCCTTGTACTCAAACTGGTGCAGATATCTGCACTGAAGAACAGAGAGCCTACTGAATCAATCAACCTCAACAAAGAAACAGAGGGATCTTGCAGCAACAGAAGTGAGAACAGTTCTGAGATTAAGTTTGATATAACAAGAACACCAACTATGGATAGTCCTGATCTATCCACACATCAAACAAGCATAACCTTATTTCCATCTTCTTCTGCTTCTGTTAGGCCTCCTTCTGCATCAGGAGGAGTGGCTCCCCAGCTCTTTCAAGCTTCTTCAAGACCAGAGCTTCATCAGTGCGAGAAGGTAGATCAGATGGCGAAAGAAGAGAACTTGAGCAACATGTTTTGTGGGATCGATGATCAATCAGGGTTCTGGCCATGGTTGGAGCAGCAACATTTCAACTGAAACATATTATATAGATATGGGGATCAGCGAGTTTGTTTCAAATTGAGATGTAGTTTTTTTATTCTATCATGGGTGATGAAAATGATATCCAAGAGGGTGTTTAGTAATTAATTATATTACTACATACACTTTATGATGAGATCTTACTTGAAAGACAGTTAGAAATTTTCTTGTGGTGAGGCTTGAAAAGTTTTGTATCGGAGAATAAAGTGCCAGTCTTTTTTTTTTGTCCTAAAACTTAGCATACTATAACTAGTTTTTTTTTTCTCCCAAGAGAAATAAAAACTTCATCGGTAATCTTAGAAAGTAACATCGTTTTATCTGTGGTTAAGCCCCATGCATTTTTGTTGTTAAGTAAAAATAAAACATGCACAGAATTGAGTAAAGTTTGGTGGATGAGTTAATGGGAAATGACAGAACTTTACAAGGAAATTTCATGCTTGTGCCGTTCAAAATCTTTTTGCTTACTTTGGAATGAATCAAAAACCTTGCACTGTGCTAAGCCGAGAGAGAGAGAGAGAGAGCAAGTGGTGTGAGGAAGAAAAGGAGCCAAAATCCAATGTGCATTATTGGAAAAAGAAGGGAAGAGAGAGAGAGAGAGAATCAAACACAAATTCTGAGAAGTAAAGAAGACAAGGAGAAGCAGGGAAGAAAACAAGGGGAGTGGGAAAGAGTAATTATCGTGAATAGGATATTGTCGATTGATTCTCTTGTTGATGACAAAGGAAGGAAGCAAGGAGGATACCTCTGGTCTTGTCGGACGCTCCTTTTCTCTTTCTTCTTGCAATGGCCACACTCAAACAAGTCTTTTCTCTTTAGCTTGTGTGTGCGGGATACAACCTCTCATGTGATTTTTCTGTCACCCCCACACCTTCGCCCTCCTCTCTTATCGCATTCCACAACTTCCTTGACATCATCCAAATGTTACCGATGACTATTTAATACTCCTATGTTCTGACTTCTAACAAATTTAAGTACAGGTAGAAGGATTTATTTTAGTTTATAAATATAAAATGTCATCATTACAGATTTTCAAATATATATTATTGGATACGTGATGGTTAATATGGTTACCTATCTCTAAGTGGAAGTCACGCTAAGAAATAAGTGACGGTCATATTTCTAACGGTCACGTATTGTGTATTTATAAATGATGGTTCTTTTTACCTGCCGTCACTTTTTTTCCTTCACAGTAAAATAATGTTTTGGGAAAATGACAACAAAATACCACCTGATTTCAAAAAGATAAATAAAGCATCTGAATAAGCAAAATGACATATAGGGGACTGGGTACCAATCTGGAATTCAGATTTTTGGGCAAAACACCGAAATGCCCTGTCTGAAAGTGAGAGAAAGGAGAGAGGAAGACGCTGATGAAATACAGGAAGAAGGAAAGAAGAATGTTGAAAATGTTATTATCTTACTCCTCCGCATCACCATTCTGTAGAGATTGTTGATTTGATAGGTTTTGGTTGTGAGAAAGAGGATTTGTAGTAAGAGAGGGAGTGAACCTGTGGGAAAGAAGTTGATGGCAGGATTTGGATTATTCATTTTTGTGGCTGCTTCATAGTGAAATAGGAACAGGATTATTGCATTTGAGGGTTTATATTTAGTATTCGGTGAATGATGAAGCAGAAATCAGAAAACAATGGCAAGCAATTACGTAATGTAACTGCTGTCATATGCCTGCTGGTTTTTGGTAAATCCCATTACGTGAACGGTAAATTTTATTATACATGTAGTTAATTATGAAAGTTAATACATTGCCCTGTCTGAAAGAACTCATACTCCTTGAGATTGTCGTCGTCGAAGAGGTCGCTGAAGTAACATCAACTGTAATACACAAGTAGGAAGCTTAAATATTATTCTTCATAGAGCATTTTCGATGGGTTCCCACAGCTTAAAATGTTATTGCCTAGCATTCCTCTTTTTGGTTTTGTCTCTGTTCTTCGCATAAAACTATTTTCAGAGAATGTGAAGCTGTCTGGTTTTCTAGTATTATTAAACCATTTGTCCTGAATTTTACAAAACACATATTGTGATTTACAACTTTTGTAGTGAAAGTGACTACTTTGTTAATGGGTTTTGTAACCTATTTTCAGGAGATAAACAACTTGTTTATAAAAACTAATAAAATTTCATGCTAAATTTGACAAAACATATAGTGGGATTTACAACTTCCGTAGTAAAAATGACCACTTATTCAATGGGTTTTGCAACATGTTTTCAGGGGATTGACAACTTGTTTCTAAAAACCAATAAAATTCCATGCTGAATTTTACAAAAGATATAGTGATATTTACAACATTTGTGGTGAAAATTACCACTTCTTAAATGGGTTTTGCAACCTCTTTTCAGGGGATGAGCAACTTGTTTCTAAAAATCAATAAAATTTCACGCTGAATTTTACAAAACACACAGTGAGATTTACAACTTTTATAGTGAAAATGACCACTTCTTAAATGGCTTTTGCAACCAGTTTTCAGGGGATGTGCAACTTGTTTCTAAAAGCCAATAAAATTTCACGTTGAATTTTACAAAACATATACTGGGATTTACAACTTTTGTAGTAAAAGTGACCACTTTGTTAATAGGTTTTGCAACATATTTTTGGAGGATGAGTAACTTACTTTTCATCATCAATAAAATTTCACACTGAATTTTACAAAACACATAATGTGATTCACAACTTTTATAGTGAAAGTGACTACTTCTTCAATGGGTTTTGTAAACCTGTTTTCACCGGAAAGGCAACTTATAAGCATAAATAAATCATTCAGTGAACGTGCACCTGAAGTACGTCACAATAAACATTGAACTATTAACTTTCATAATTAACTACATGTATAATAAAATTTACCATTCACGTAATGGGATTTACCAAAAACTAGCAGGCATATGACAGCAGTTACATTACGTAATTGCTTGCCATTGTTTTCTGATTTCTGCTTCATCATTCACCGAATACTAAATATAAACCCTCAAATGCAATAATCCTGTTCCTATTTCACCATGAAGCAGCCACAAAAATAAATAATCCAAATCTCGCCATCAACTTCTTTCTCACAGGTTCACTTCCTCTCTTACTACAAATCCTCTTTCCCACAACCAAAACCCACCAAATCAACAATCTCTACAGAATGGTGATACGGAGGAGTAAGATAATAAATAGCATTTCCAACATTCTTCTTTCCTTCTTCCCGTATTTCATCAGCGTCTTCCTTTCTCCTTTCTCTCACTTTCAGACAGGGCATTTCAGTGTTTTGGCCCAAAATCTGAATTCCAGATTGGTACTCAGTCCCTTATATGTCATTTTGCTTATTTAGGTGCCTTATTTGTCTTTTTGAAATTCAAGTGGTATTTTGTTGTCATTTTCCCTAATGTTTTTGCAAAAGAAAAGAAGACGGATAGACAACAAAACCTTCATGTATTGCTTCTACACATTTTGCTTGCCTCCACTCAAACTATGTTGAAACATGAAGCAGTGCAAAAGATGACTACACAGTTACTGGGATTGGTTGTCCCTCTTCAACTTTCAAAGACCAACAATATATCCAAACTCTGAGGCAACATTTCCCCCCTATTTAAACCCCTTACCGTGGTTCCTTTCTTGTACCAAAAACTGCTGTCTCTCCCCCTCTCCCCATCCGTCTTCCATGTTGGTTTTTTGTTAAAAACCTACATGTAAGGTCTTTTTAATACATCTTATGCCCGCTCTAGCCGCTATATTTTCAAACTTAGCATTTATTACCTTGCTAAAAAAAAGCTCTCTCGCATGCACGCCTTTGTGAAAACCAGTACTAATGCAACCTTTCTAGCCAAATCCACCTTCGTTCGCCACCACATAAACTGCTAACACTGTCAACGAAGTGTTTTCATTGGCGGAGCTTTGCGTCTTTTGTTTAGGCTAAGTTCGTTTTCACTCCTCTGTCTTCTTTCATTAACTTCTCTGCTCATCTTCCTACTCTTTCTCTTCGTGTAGTAATTTCTAAACTTCTTATTCCCTTTTGTCCCCTTTCCCCTTTGCTTCTCATTAAATGGGTTTGATGTGTGGTTGGTTATTATTGTGTCATTTTTCTGCTAGCTAGCCAGCTAGTTGACCGGATCTATTTTCTTTCATTATTTAAAATATTCTGAGCTGTTTCAAATTGGCAATTTAAAAAAAAACTCATGAGAGGGACCTAAACGCAGAATTGTAAACTCGTAGGTGTTTACCATTATTGATAAATGCAATTAAAATATAAGACTAAATAATTAAATACAAAAAATGACAACAATTTAATTTAAATATACTTTAAATCCAAATCATTGAAACAAAATTCATTAGTATTGATACTTTATCATACTCAATATAGAAGTTTATATGAAATTCATATACTACTATGAAGTTACTAAATATAATCAACTCAAAGAAAAGTATAACACTATTACAAAATTAGAAATACTTAATGGTTATTTTTATTCATATTTGACGGTTTAGAACCATCAAATAAGAAGGCGTCAAATATTCACAAATATTTAACGGTTCTTAGTGAAGAACAGTCAAATAAGGTCATCTTATTTGACAGTTGTTAGCAAAGAACGGTCAAATATTCTAGGAATATTTGACGGTTCTTAGTGAATAACTGTCAAATAAGGTCATCTTATTTGATAGTTGTTATCAAAGAATTGTCAAATAAGATCACCTTATTTGATGGTTATTCATTAATAACCATCAAATAAGGTTAAAAAAGCGTCAGATAAAATGATTTTATTTAATTCTATATAATTATTTTCAACTATTTGTTTCTATTTATTTTTTACTCTTAATATTTATTATGATACACAATATAATTATTGAATAATAACAAGAGAATAATATTAAATAAAAATTATATTTATAGAATTTAAAATCCAATACATTATATATAAACATCATACAATTTGAAAGAAATCAATTACTTGAGCACTCCCTATACAAAAGAACATTCTCTTACAAATTTTTTGAGTTCTAAATTAAAATTCTATTAATAAAAAATTTCTAAAAATTTGTTCTTGATCAAACACCATAGTCCAACCTCCACTCTACCCATCGCTGCAACATTAAATATAAAAGCAGTTAATGCAATTTGTTGCCTCCATCTACCTGAAAGAAATAAATTGGATGCATGAGAAATAAAATATATTATAATAAGTTGAGTGAATTACTTGAAAAAGCAATACAACAAAACGTATTTGCATTACTAATAGACAAAGCA